AAGGATTACATCCACAGTGGAGTACCTCTAATCAGTGGTGGGCCAACTACGCTAACTGTAGCGTTAGCATGGTGTAGTGTAGCAAAAAAACACTACAATTCAGTGTAGTGTTAGCGCATTTCTACTTTTCTGTGCTAACACTGCGTTGTAAGACTCAAAAAGTGGTTGTAAGACCCTCTTTGCTGAATGGAGAAGGGGATGATGGAGTGAAAGCTCTGCCCTTCTATACTATCAGATAACAAGACCCACCAAGCTTAGGGTAAAGTCAGGATGAGTTGTGTGATGAAGAGTTTGATTTGTGTTGGTTGCGCTTTAAAGTGTTTGTGTAAAGGTGGTCAAATATGCTTAAGTGTACTTGACTGAGGATTTAACAACTGGGAGGAGAGCCTCCTATATATACAACAGTGAGGGAATTTAGCTCCAGGGCAGCCAGTAATGAGTGATTTTGGCTGGCTTGGGCTATTACATGAGGTATTTTAGCTACATAAATAATTTGAATGAGTGAATGTGATTGGTCAGACATGTACAAGAGTTGAAGTGGTGATCCAAACAGCTGAATGAGTGATTCTGATTGGTCAGGTTCTGATGTGTTCACAAATGATTGTGGTGGTGTAAGCTGCAGCTGTCATGTAAGGAAAATACACTAATTCAGGCTGCAGGTATGGTGTAATATGTAGAAGTGAAAGAGAAATAGCTGTATGTAAATGGGTGTGTATGTAAATGTGGGGTTGTACTGTACTGAGCGTGTCTGTAGCTTGAGAGTTGTAATTGGGATTGGTGACATGTAGTGATGAGTGAAATCCTTGTGATATGTTGTCCATTGTTGGGTAAGAGTTGATCCAGGTGTGTTCCAGTGACGCCTCCAAGGTGACCAAGGGTGAATTTGTCCATAGAGTCCAGTTCTTGAGCCGTATGGTGTGATTTCTGAGAGATTGGGTGAAAATATGAAGAAAAAAAATATATATATAAGAAAAGAAAAGAAAAAGGGCCTTAATAAAAAAACACGGTTTTTCCGCGTTTACATGTGGTTTTCCTGCGGCACAGCACACGCGGTTTCCGCGTTTAACACGGTTTTGTAATTAATTTTTTACCGCTTATTTTTTGAGTTTTTTTGAATTTTTAAAATTGTTTCCTAGGTTTCCAAGCGCTTAGAATTTAATGGTAAAAACCTTTTTCCATAAAAATGAATTTTGATTATTAATTATTTTTTTCACTCATTTCTCAATTAATTGTTTGCATACATGTATGTACCTTATTTTTTATGTTTTTTTGAAATTTTAAATTTACTTCCTAGGTCTCAATCTGATTAGAATTTAATGGTGCAATCCAATTTTTTTAAAACTCAACGGTTCACTTTTAATACTCAAATTACACCCATTTTTTCACTTAAATTTTTAGAGCTTAATTTTCATTCTTTTTTGACATTTTAAATTTTTTTCCTACACTTTCAGACATGTATAAATTTATGGTAAAAATGATTTTGCATCAAAATGAAAACTACATCTTGAATACTGCATTTGACACCATTTTTTCAACTAATTCTTCACTTTTTCACTTAATTGTTTGCATACATGTGTGTACCTTATTTTTTATGCTTTTTTGAAATTTTAAAGTTGTTTCCTACATTTCAAAGTGTGTAGAATTTAATGGTAGCATCCAATTTTCTTAAAACTCAACATGTCATTTTTAATACTGAAACTAGACACTTTTTTTAATTAATTATTTACATGTTATTTCTCAATATTTTTTGAAACTTTAAATTTATTTCCCACACTTTAAGACATGATTAAAATGATGGTAACAACCATTTTACATAAAAGTCAGCGCTTGTTACTGAATACTGCGTTGGACAGGTTTTTTTTAATGATTTTTTGATTGATTTTTACCGGCTTAATTTTGAGCATTTTTTGAAATTTTAAATCTATTTCCTACATTTAAAAATGTGTAGAGTTGAATGGTGAAGTTCAATTTCACCAAAAATACAAGCTTCAATCTTAATAGATGAGCGTACCCCGTTTCTTGCATAATTTGTACCATCTACAAATTTTATTTGAATGCAAAATGGATACAGCCATCAATTTTTAAACCTTTCAAAGTGTAGGAAATGAGCTTGAAATTCCAAAAAATAAGGATAATTGCGCACGTAAGAATGAATTTTGGAAACACGTCAAAGGCATTATTCAAGACATAGTTTTCATTTTGATGAAAATTCATAGTTACCATAATTTTATAAATGTTTGAAAGTGTAGGAAAAGAATTTAAAATGTCAAAAAAGAATGAAAATTAAGCTGTTAAAAATCAATTGAAAATTATGGCTAATTACAGTATTCAGCATGAACTGTTGAGTTTAATGGAAATTGAATTATACCATTGAGTTCTACACACTTTTTAATGTAGGAAAAAAAATTTAAAATTTCAAAAAAGCATAAAAAATAAGGTACACATATGTATGCAAACAATTAAGTGAAAAAGTGAAGAATTGAATAAACAAAACGGTGTCAAATGCAGTATACAAGATGTAGTTCTCATTTTGGTGCAAAATCATTTTTACCATAAATTTATACATGTCTGAAAGTGTAGGAAAAAAATTTAAAATGTCAAAAAAGAATGAAAATTAAGCTCTAAAAATTTAAGTGAAAAAATGGGTGTAATTTGAGTATTAAAAGTGAACTGTTGAGTTTTAAAAAAATTGGATTGCACCATTAAATTCTACGCACATTAAAACCTAGGAAATAATTTTAAAATTTCAAAAAAGCATAAAAAATAAGGTAAAAACAAGTATGCATACAATTAATGGAAAAAATGAGTAGAAAAAAAATAATAATAATTAAAACTCGTTTTTATAGAAAATGGTTTTTACCATTAAATTCTACGCGCTTTGAAACCTAGGAAACAATTTTAAAAATTCAAAAAAACTTAAAAAATAACCCATAAAAAATTAATTAAAAAACCGCGTCTAAATGCGGAAACCGCGTGTGCTGCGCACAGCCAAAACCGCGTCAAAACGCGGAAAAACCGCGTTTTTTTATTAAGGCCCAAGAAAAAAAGTTTGAATTTTCACATTTTTGACTACCACAGCCTCCCCCAACTTATTGTCTGTCCCCAGACAATTTATCAGGAAAAAATGGGAAAAAATGTAGAAGGAGTTATTTAAACATTAAATGAGGTGAAAAGTGTAGTGGGTATTTGGAGGAAAAAGATGGGGAAAAAATGAGTGTGGCTGAAAAAAAGAGTGTGATAGCCTCCCTCAACTTTGCAGTGAAGCCAAGCTGGGGTGGCCGTATTTGTGATTTTTAAACGTTAAACTTGATTTTTAAATTTGATTTAACAGGGTTTTGCCTGCAAATGTTAGTCTCAGGTCCCTGTGTACCCCCTTCTGCCCAATAGTTCAGAGGTGGGGGGGCGGCATTTCTATTTTATTTTATTTTATTTTATTTTATTTTATTTTATTTTATTTTATTTTATTTTATTTTATTTTATTTTATTTTATTTTATTTTATTTTATTTTATTTTATTTTATTTTATTTTATTTTATTTTATTTTATTTTATTTTATTTTATTTTATTTTATTTTATTTTATTTTATTTTATTTTATTTTATTTTATTTTATTTTATTTTATTTTATTTTATTTTATTTTATTTTATTTTATTTTATTTTATTTTATTTTATTTTATTTTATTTTATTTTATTTTATTTTATTTTATTTTATTTTATTTTATTTTATTTTATTTTATTTTATTTTATTTTATTATATTTTATTTTATTTTATTTTATTTTATTTTATTTTAT